CGCAAAGAGACCTTAGGAGCCTGACAGGGAACCCAATGATTAAGTCCTCCCTCGAAAGTTCCTCGTGCGAGATATGTTCGTATTATTGGGACAAATCTAGGAGCCCGCTGATCGCGGCGAACCCTTTAAGCCTGGTGAGCCTCTGAATTATGCCATGCACGTGACCAGTTCGATCAAAACTGAAATCAGCTCCTCCCCAGAAGGCAGCATTGTTGAGCGAAAATTCCCGATTCCTGCTCGCAGGCTGCCTCAGGCGTGACCAGATGCGTACCTAGATTGGGGCCAGCGCAACCGGCCAAACTCCTGAGGCCGGGGTTGGCTTGCCCAAGAAGAACATCAAAAATGTCCAGAGATAGAGATCCTCAGGATCCCTTTCCCAATGCATGGGGATGTCCAGGAAAGCTTGCTTGCAGCTGTCGGGGGGGCAACACTTGGCGCGGAAGCGACTGATCCCACTCTAGCCCACAAGAGCCAGGCTGGGACCAAAGGACCTCGTCGAACCGAGAGATGGTCACCCTGGGCAGCTCAGCCCAGGGGTCCAGGCCTCCAAGGGCCAGCAACGCTTGGGGCGGGCCAGAGGCCCGCGAGGGCCTGGCAGGGGCGACTGCAGGATCCCAGTCCCCTCGGATGACCCTCACCATCTCTTTGGGCCGCATTCCAAAGCGGCCCCCGCTGCTCCACCAAGAGCCTGTCCACGGCCTGCCGTCCCTTCAGCGGGCAGAGATGGGCGATCGGCAGTGCCCTCAGTGTGAATGTGGGTTTCCGCCTTCACACAGGCGTACGCGGCCCTGTCCCCCTTGCTCCTTGGCCGCAGACTTGGCCCAGGCCTTCCGGCCCGGGCACTTTCAGCGCGTTTCTTACCCTGGAGGGAGGAGAGGTAGCCCAGTGACCCCAAAAGGACAGAGGTACACACATTTACATGTACACATATATATATATATATACATATATATATATGTATAGATGTAGGTATGTAAATGTATATCTCTATATATGTACATTTTAAAAAAGAGAACCCCCTACTCCTCCTCCTTGTCCTCCTCCTCCACCTCCCCCTCCTCCCCCCCCAAAGCAGAGGCATCCTTCCAGGGCCCCAGGTTGCCATCGCTATACCATGTCGGTAAAGCAAGGCGTGCTTTTGTCTGCGCTTGCTTTGCTTTGCAAGCTCGCAACAGCCTTTGGCACGAGCCTTTGAACATATAGCATGCAGCCTCATGCAGGCCGAGTAAAGAGAAACAAACACAAGTCCGCTTCCTGCCTTCAACGGAAGAAACTTGTCGCACGTCACTCCTCCAGGCCTAGCCTCAGTTCACACATAGGACTCTCCGCTCTTCAGCTCTCCCAGAGTGCGCTGCGCAGCTCCAGGTGTGGACCCCTGAGCTCCAGCATGTGCTCCTCGATATTCTGGAGCCATGTTTGACAGGCCGTCTGTAGGTCAGCAGGCAGATCTTTACCTGGCTTCCACGGCCAGTGCTGCTCATTTCGCTCCACAGGAACCGCTCGATCAGGCAGTGGCTTCTCGATTGGGAATGTCATGGGCAGCACCGCCTTGTGTACCTTTGCCTGCACCGACAGTCCTTTGAACGGGCAATCGACTGGAAAGCGAGGGCGCGCTGGCGCTCCTGGCACGACTGAGACTGCTGAAGCAAAGGGCGTTAAGACCTTGCTGCATATGAGAAGTCAACCTTCTTACCCTTAGAAGTAATATCTGTAGACTTCACAATATCGCCTTTGACTCCCTGAGCACACTTTGCCATCTTATCAGGAACAGTATTCCAGACAGCCACAACAACCTTGGGAAACTGCAGATAACTAATATCTTTGAATAGCTTGGCTAGCAGGTCTATGTTGGCTCCTGCCAGGCCTACGCTGGTGTGCAACTATACGCAGACAATGACGATTTGAAGCGGCAGCTTGATGTTGACTCTGAGCGCTGCCACCCTTGACGAGGTAAATGCGCCTTCAGCAGGCCCAACTGTGTCTGCTGGAAGCCTGCTGAGCACCGCGCATCCTGCACTGGGCTCAGTGGGTCCTAGACCCGTGATATCCGCCAGCGACATCGCGACGTGGAAACCTCTCTGCACACTCCGTTGCCTGGCTCTGTGCCTCCTGATCGCATCCTTGATGCGGTTCTCCTGGATGCAGATGGCATCTGGAACGCGCGAAACAGGCTCAGTCGCCACCGAGTCATGCCCCGCACCTTCAATATCATAATGGGTCCACTCCAAGAGAGTTTGCGCCGCTGATCACTTATCAGGGTTGAGAGTCCACACAAGAAATGCTGACGCCGAAGCTGAACGGCTACCCCAGCTTCTGCGCTGTGCGTGCGTAGCAAGGTCGGCGAGAAACCGCTTGAGCTGCCCTGGATCCTCGGCAGCCGAGACTCCTGCCTTCTTGAGCTTATCCTTGAGCTCCCCATCGTCGGGGTCACGGTTGATGGCGTCTGGGGCCCGACCGGCTGCAGCAGCGCCAGGAGAACCCGCGCCCGCGCCACCATCAGTACAGTGGAGGCCCACGCTAAGAAGCACCCTGCTTGCCTCCAGGGTGCCTTGGGTTTCTTGGGCTTCGACGGTTCCTGCTGTGGAAGGCGTGACGCTCCTACACCAGAAAACGATGGGGACGTCCTGGGGTCTCATGGTTGGGTTCCTTGTGGAAGGTTTGTTGTGGTCTGGCCTCCGCTGTACCGCCAGCGCCAGCAGGAGCCTGGGGCGCCACCTTGGGGAGCCGCGCCTTGAACCTCGCCTTGTTGGCCCCAGCCGCTCGCAGAAGCGCCGCCGCACCCGGCACGTAACGCCCTGCGCGCTTCCGAACTGCCTCGTCAAGAACGTCCAGCACCTGGAGCTCGTGGACAGGGTCGGCTTCCTGTCCTCCAGCGGGCGGCTCGGGCAGAACGGACGCGGTCCGGGCCTCCGGAGTGAAGTGCTCAATCTGCGCGAGGGTGCCTCGGTGGGCCTTCTCCCGCTCGACCTCCGCCTCGAAGGCCTGCGCCTCCTCGAGGGCGGCCTTCGCGTCCTTGACGCGCTCCTCGGACTTCTCGTTCTGCTTCTTCTTGCAGAAAAAACACACAGTGGGGAAAAACACACACACCACAAAAAAACACATACACACACGTGTTTTTTTGTTCCCACGTGTGTGTGTGTGTGTGTGTGTTGTTTCCCACAGTGTGTGTGTGTGTGTGTGTTGGTGCTTTTTCCCACAGTGTTTTTTTTGTGTGTGCGTGTGTGTTTTTCCCACGTACGCCGTTGAAGTAGGTCCTGCATACTTTTACTGCTGTGGTCCGCAGGGCCGACCTCCTCCGACGTTTCGAGCACGTCCTGCAGCTTGGACTCAGGTTGGGAGCCGGCCTGGCGCCCTCTGTCCTCGAGCAGCTCGACAAGTCCATCGTTGCAGGAGGTCGCCGCGGCAGCTTCCTTGACACCTTTGTCTCCTCCGCCGCCAGCCTTCCCTTGACCCCCCTCCTGACAGCACGGATGTCCGTTGAGCCAGAGGATGAGGAGGAGGGAGAGGAGGAGGAGGAGGGGGAGGAGGGAAAGGAGGAGGAGGACGAAGAAAAACAATAAGAAACGTACTAAGAGGAATGATAAAATAGAATGAAGACGAGCACTAGTTATAGGACGAATACAAACATTAAAAAGACGAATGCGACGAATCAGAAACATACCAATCCTAATAATGATACGATGTTTGCGACGAAACTAAAGGGACACACTCATAATACTATACATGAAAATATGACGAACAAGAAAACGAACAATAGTTCTATTACTAACAAGCAGAATGCAATACTATACTACTACTAAGAGGACGAGGAACCATACTACTACTGTTCAGATACATAAGAATAATCATATTAATAGTTATAAGAATGATGCGGCGAATCTTAATACTACTACCCATGCTACCATGTCATTAGAAGTATAACACTAACATTTATATTGCTAGCTCCAAGCCAATTTTGCTCAAGCGCGCAGCGTCCCCCTTACAGAACTTCTTCTTGATGTTTTGTTTATTTGTTGTTTTATTTTCATACTTTCTTCTTTTGTATTATTTCCTTTCCATACTTGGTGCTGCGATGGCTGATTCCGCAACGCCCGAACAGTCCTCCGGTGCGGCAGCGCCGACGAAGGACCGTGCTTTGGCTGTGGCGGAATGGGTGGAGGCAAAGTGCAAGGAAATAGAGAAGGTGGGCTTCAGGCTCACGGACGGCTGTGCTAAGTCCAAGGTGAGGACACACGTGCGGGAAGCCTTGGCCACCTTGAAGGCGGAGGTGAAGCGGGAGTACATCCGGGGCTCTTCTTGGAAGGGCAATGCAACCAACTTGGAGTTGTGGCAGTTCATGCTCAGGCTCCTCGATGAGGCTTTTGCCGTGCGGAAGGGGCACATAGCGAACTTGAAGGAAGGTGCCACGAGGATGGACGAGCGTAGCATGGTGGTGGCGAACTTTGAGGCCTTGGAAGTGAGCGTTGGGGATTGGAAGCTCGCGGGGCTCGAGGCCACCATGGAGGAGGCGAAGGTATCGGTGGACGAGGCTAGGAAGGCTTTGGCGGAGGCCGTGGGCAAGGACGACTTTGCAGCAAACAAGAAGCAGCTGGAAGAGGACCTCGATGCGGCCACGAAGGAGATGAACCGCTTGACCAAGGCAGTCGAGCCTATGGTCGAATCCGAGGAAGGAGGAGGCAGCCGAAAAGGAACGCCTCGCTAAGAAGGCCGCATCCAGCAGCGCTGCAGCTACGAGCGCAGCGCCTGCACCAAAGGAGCCCATGGGTTTATTTGTTTTCTTTAGGGGGTCGAAGACGGCGGAGGAGCAGGAGAAAGGAGCTAGCGCTCCTGCGAGGAAGGACGACGTGGACGAGGAGGAGGATGAGGAGCCGAAGAAGGAGGAGCTGGGGGATACCGTCACGAAGTTGGAGTTGAAGAGGGGGAAGATCATGAAGGGTTTGTCCGAGAACGATCGCTTTCTTATTTGCCTTGGTATCATCCTCCTTGAGCTGGCCCTCCAGGTGCGCGGGCCGGCGAAAATGGCTCGGGCTTCGAGGGCGAGGGCGACGACAGCAGCCAGCTTGCTCAAGACGGACGCCAAGGAGGAGAAGATCTTCAAGTCGTTCTACACTCTCATGAACCTCTTGCGAGGGGTCTTCTTCGACTTGACAGGACAGATCGCGACCGAGAATGCCTTCCGTGGAGCTGTCCCTGAGACGGTGGTTAAGGCCTTTGGGGTGGACCACCTTTGGCCGCTCATTGGTTTCGCCTGGAGGCCCGAGCAACAGGAGGACGAAGCTGCGATGGTGATCGAGCAATTCCTCGCATTGCTGTGGCAAGGGCGCCCGCGCAGTCGCCGCAAGGCATGCTCTCCTTGAGAAGAGCTTGGTGAGCATCGAACAGCAGGAGCTGAAACCATGCCACTTTGTGTTCGGGAATCCCGGACGCTCTGACTGGCCCAACAAGGTGCAGATCTCGAGGGACGACATCTATGCCACAGGCACAGTGCGCACCTTCATGGACAACGTCGATGCCATGCTGAAGTCGGGGATGAGGGTCAAACAGTGGGATGGCTTGGTGGAGGTCATCAAGGCTGCTTGCATGGATGTGTCGAAGCAGATGAAGGAGGATGAGGCTGCTGGCGAGGGCGAGGGCGAGGGTGAGGAAGAAGAGGCTGGGAGCAGCGAGTCGGATGTGGAGGGCGAGTGAGGGAATCTTGGATTCTTCCATGCACAAACAGGGCTGGCTTCCATTATATAAATAGGGACACATGTCTTTTCCATGTGCCACAGCTGCTTGTCACCCCCCAAATATTACTTCAGTAGGACCAGCACAACTAAACTTAATATCGCTAAGGAGACCGAGGCTACTCATAAGACGGAATCGAGTAACACTTAACATATAAGCCATGTGCTTTTACGACTGATATTAATAATGCGACAACTATTGGTACAACGTAGCATACGATTAATAATACGACAATGCGATTAGGAAACGTACGAATACTACCACGAACATGCATAAGACACATACGACGACGAGCACGAAACAGCAACCGGACATTAAGACCACTGCTACTGCGTGAACTAATACTAATAATACGAACGCTCATATTAATCGTACTCTTACTAATGCTCGTATCAGTACTAATAATCACATTAACCACAAACGCGGTATACTTACGAATATTATTACTAATAAGACACCTACTAGGAGGAGGGGGAAGGATAGGGAGGAGGAGGAAGAGGAGGAGGAGGAGGACGAGGAGGAGGAAGAGGACGAATAGGAGGAGGAGGAGGAAGAGGAGGAGGAGGAGGAGGAGGAGGAGGAGGAGAGTGAGGGAGAAGGACGAGGAAGCGGGGGAGGAGGAGGAGGAGGAGGAGGAGGAGGAGGAACAGGATGAACATGAGGAGTGGGAGTGGGAACCTGAGAGGTATGAGAGAGGAGCGGGGCGGTCAAATGGGGCATAAGGGGGTGAACGGGAGGAGGGGGAAGGTTGTGTGTGTGGGGGGTCATGGCGATGAGGAGGAAAAGGGAGAGGAAGAGGAGGCGGAAGAGGAGGAGGAACATGAGGAGGAGGAGGAGGAGGAGCAGGAGGATGCGGGAAAGGAGGAGGAAACATATGATGATGATGATGATGATGATGATGATGATGATGATGATGATGATGATGATGATGATGATGAGGGGGAGGAGCAGAAACAGGGAGAGGGCAATGGAGGAAAGGACCAGAGTAACCCCACGATGTTGCAATGCGCCCACAGGACCCAAGTCCCATCCAATCCCGTCCGTGTAAGGCTCGGGTTGCAAGAGGTCGTTTTCACGTTGTGAGTTTCCCCTGGACATATGAACCATCCATTATCCTGCAATTCCGGCGGGGGAATCGTTTTGACAAGAGCTGTCATCCGTGTTTCTAGCTAGACGGACGGCGGCGAGGTAGTATCATAATCTCGATGGGGGCAAACCGAGGGACATGTCCAGCGGGAACCCCATTTTGATGAATCACAGCTTCCTTCAACCGGTGGTTGGTTTCCAATCTTAAACGCCTTGCTATAACCTTTAAGGGGGTCTCAAACGAACGCTCGAATTGAAAAAGGAACCGCCCACCATCCGTGTACTTATTGCACAATTCTAGACATCATATCGTAAGGCTTAGGGCCGTATCAGACGAACATGGCCATTTTGACAATGAGCCCCCCCCTCCGTCGAAGTAAGTGTTGGAAGCTTTAAGCGCGTACGAGCGCGGCGCTATACCGAGACACCACTGTTTGAACACAATCCCCTCTATCCGTGTAGCTGCCCGCAAACTTTTAAGACGAATGTACGCGGCGCATGGGCGATACCCACATTGCTAAAACGGAACCGCCCTCCATCCGCCGAACTATTGGACGAGTTTGAACACGGATGTGCGCGGCGCCAAGGCGAGAGCCACAGTTTGAACACCACCTTCCATCCGTGTAGCGGGTGCAGGTTTTTTAGACCAGCGCGCGCGGTGTTTAGGCGAAAACTATAGTGTGACCCCCTTTTCCGTCCGTGTAAGCATTGGATTGTTTGTAGACGAATGCGCTCGGCGCTAAGGCGAGCGGAACAGTGTGAACACAACCCCCTTCCATCAGTCTTCAGCGAAACGCCCAGCCCGCCCTACCGATGCGTCTGGTGGTCACACGGGAGGAGTTATCCACAAAAGGGAACATTGATGGAGGAGGAGGAGGAGATAGACGGGGAGAATGATGATAATGATGACGATGATGAGGTTGATGGCCGTGGTTGTGATGATGCTTATGATGATGATAACAAGGATGATGATGATGAGGCTGATGGTGATGATGATGCTGCTGATGATGATGTTGGTACTGATGATGTTGTTGATGATGCTGATGAGGATCATGCTGATGATTCGGAGGAGGAGGAGGAGGAGGAGGAGGAGTGCGCGGCCTGGCCAGGGCGTAGCAAAAGGCGTTATCGCTGTCTGCAAATCGACTTCAGATCCCTCGACCACTTCGACTTGATCGGTGACCTCGACTTCGCTTCGCGTCTCTCTCCTCCTGCTCTGCCCTCCTCCCCTCATTATCCCTTTTTCCCTCCCTCGCCCTCCTCCCCTCCTTCGCCCCTCCCTCGCCCTCCTCCCTCCTCCCCTCGCCCTCCTCCCTCCCTCCTCCCTCCTCCCCTCGCCCTCCTCCCTCGCCCTCCTCCCTCCTCCCTTCTTCCCTCCCTCGCCCTCCTCCCTCCTCCCCTCCTCCCTGTCCGCCTCGGGCCTCTTCCCTCCCTCCGCCCTCCCCTTCCCCTTCTCCCCGCGCCCCCGCGAGCTCGCGCGCTCCGCTCCCTGCGGGGCAGTGCTGGTGGCCGCGCCCGCGCCTCCGTGCACTGGTGGCCCACGCTTTCGCCTCGGTCGCCCCCCCCTCGTCGCTCGTCCCTCCCTCTCTCGCTCCGCCTTCCCTCCCGCCCCCGCTCGTCGCGCGTCCCTCCCTTCCTTCGTGCGTTCTCCCCCCCTCTCCGAACGTTTGAACTCATGCATCAGGCAGCGCCTGCCGACGCGCCAGTGGGCGTACGGCTTCTGTCTGCCTGCCTGTCTGGGTTTGGCATCGCCGTCGGATCGGTTGTCAATCTCAGACGCACGCCCCGCGGACCGACACCACGGCACGGAGAAGGCGCCGAGCGACCGAGGGTGCGAGAGGGAGCCCGGAGAGGCCCCCGGGAACGATCGCTTCGGGGGGAGGCCCCAGGAGCGTCGTCAGGCACCGTAGGGTGTCACTTCGGGGGGCATGTGGGTTTTTGGTAGTGCAGGACGGGCACCCAGGGAGCCTCGCCGAGGGCACTCCAGAGCTACTTGCATTGGGGGTTCTCGTTCAGACCCTCGAGGAATCTGACGAGTGCTTCGAGGATTCGTCCCGTGGCCGCCCCGTGACCGCTCGTCGCCGCTCGTAGTTGCCGCTCGTCGCTCCTCGCGGTCGGTGCGTGCGCGTGCGTGCGTGCGTGCTTGTGCGTGTGCGTGTGTGTGTGTGTGTGTGTGTGTGTGTGTGTGTGTCTGTGTGTGAGTGTGTGTGTGTGTGTGTGTGTGCGCCGCACCCACTGCACCCTCGCTGCCCATGCCCGGGTATGCGGATGGCATGGTCGACCCAATATGGGTCCCTCGCATGCTCTGAGCGTCCCCCCAAGCGCGCGCCCGCCCGTTACGTTCGGTGACTTCCTGCGCCTCGTCGCTGCGTGCGAGGCCGCGACCGCCAACAGTAAGTGTGTGTGTGTGTGTGTGTGTGTGAGTGTGAGTGTGTGTGTGTGTGTGTGAATGTATGTGCGTGTGTGTGTGCCCGCGTGTGTATGCGCGCGCGTGTGCGCGTGTGTATGCGCTCGCGCGTTTGTGTGTGTGTGTGCGTGTGTGCGTGTGTGTGTGCGCGTGTGTGTGTGTGTGTGTGTGTGTGTGTGTGTGTGTGTGTGTGTGTGTGTGTGCGTGCGCGCATGTGCGTGTGTGTATTTTTGTATATCTATATATGTGTGACGCATGCGCCCCGTGGCCGCCCGTGCCCGCTCGTCGCCGCTCGCAGTCGCCGCCCGTCGCCGCCCGTGGTCGCCGGGTGGTCCGCGTCGCTGCCTCTCCGCGTGGCCGCGCGCGCCCGCTCGCAGCCGCCGCTCGCAGTCGCCGCGCTCGTGCTCGCCGGGTGGGCGCGTCGCGGGTTCGCCCCGCGGCCGCCCCGCGGCCGCCCCGCGGTCGCCGATTGCGTGTCGAGGAGTCGCCGTGCTGCCGCCCGTGCCCGCGCGTCGCCCCGCGCGCGGAGTCGCCGCGCGTCGCCGCCCGTGGCCGCTGGGCGGTGCCTCCGCTCGCAGCCGCTGGGTCCGGGGGAGGTTTCGCCACGTGGCCGCTCGTCGCCGCTCGCGCTCCCCGTGCCTCGCCGCTCGCAGTCGCTGGGTTCGCAGAGGCTCCACCGCGTCGCCGCTCGTCGCCGCGCGTGGTCGCCGCCCGCGGCTTCCACTTTCGCGGGCAGACTAGGAAACGAATGCCACATGGCATGCACCACACAGCTGTCACTGCATAGCTTCCACCACACAGCTTGCACGACACATGGCACCACGTAGCCTACACGTTCACGCTGCAACAACTCACTGCTTGGGGCCAACGCCGGCAGACATGGCCAACGTGGCGGGGATCCTCAGAACGGAGAGCCGCGTCATCCAGAATCCAGAGTATGGCAGATTCGCGTCCTGTTGGTGCGGCGGCGACCCCGGCGCGGGCGCGCAAGGTTACACGCGGCGGGTGGCCAAGACTCGGGCCGATGTCGAACGATATGCGCGATCGGCCAGCCGCGATCGTTCAAGGCCGAACGATCCAAGTGGTGTCAGGTAACCAACCTCCAAACGCAGCAAGTGGCCCAGACTCGGCCGATGTCCACCGATCTGCGCGATTGGCCAGCCGCGGTCGGTAAAGGTTGAACGATCCACGTGGTGTTAGAAACCGAGCTGCAGGTGCCGGCCACGCGCAGAAATGGGGGTAGGGGGAGGGGGGAAAAGGGTTCTTAGAAGCACCCGTGTTTCTTAGAAGGCGCGGGCCCTGTCTGTAGATGTACGGCCGGCGCTCTGTAAAGCAGCCTTTTCCTGAGAAGCCTTGCCCCTTTCCC